TAAAAAAATGGCAGGGGGGACTTCTCAATGCATAAAATAAGATCATTATTTGTCCTTATTTCAGTAAATATGAGAGGTAGTTTGAAAATAAGTCCCCGCCTATTTTATAGTGTGGCTGAAGGTCAAAATATTACAGTTATGAATAAGTCTCAGGATTTTAAAATGCTAGCCAAATATATACATGCCTTTCTAAAACATATCATCAAATGGCTTGGTTAGGTCAGCTAGTGCCGAAAGGAAAGCACTCTAGAACAGATACAAGGATGTTTTTTGGGGGAGGGAGGAGCTGATACAAAACTAAGATGACATCATTGAAAAAGAAGAATGATCATCATTGAAACTGTGTCAAGTGCTGGGTGCCAGGTGCAGAAGTGAAATCTTTTCCCATTGTGTGTAATGTCCCTCTTCTCTAGAAGCCCAGACCCACAACCTCACAGTGTGTGCTACCCGTGCAGTTCCTGAGGGTCCAGAAGCCTCTCCAGGGCATCACCTGGTTTGATCTTCCCACCAGCTTGGAGGGGAGCTGGTGTTAGTGTTTCCACATCAGAGATAGGTCTCAGTGATGCAGCAGAGTCACCCAGCCTTTTCCACTTCGGGTCCAAGCCCAAGAACAGTTTTCACATGCAGGCCTGACCTTAGCAACTGTAGTTGGTTCTTTGTGTGTTGTTCCGAATGTGAATACGAAGGATTTGGGCAGAATATGAGATGATTTTAGGGGCCCTCAGGTGTGATGAGAGTTATTCCCTTTCCAACTCCTAGGTCTTTGGTATTGTGATCAGAGGACATCTTGGAGAAATCAGTTCTCTCCTTCCTTCATCTGGGTACTGGGGATTGAACTCAGGTTATCAGTCTTGGCAGCAAGCCTTAACCTGTTAAACCATCTTGCTGACACTGTTTGTTTTGAGACAAGGTTTCATGTGGCCCATGCTGGCTTTGAACTTACTATGTAGCTAAAGGTGATCTTGAACTCCTGATCCTCCTGCCTCAGCCTCCCAAGTGCTTGGGTTATAGCAGGCACAAACTACCACACCTAATTTGTTTTTAACAGGATACAGATCTGGCTAGAATTGAACAATGGTTTGATCTTCATTTTATCATTTTTCATAGTTCCTATTTATAGCAAGTGCCTATAGGCTTTCATTTAGTTAGCATGACAGTCTCTTTTTAAAACAAATTGAATTAGAAGCTGAGCTGAGGAGACTATGAGGGAGACTGATGTATGGAGGTCTGGTACAGCTCAGGCAAGCTTCATAGCATGAGAGCCACAGAGAAGCAGGATGTTGGGTCACATTCCTGGGTCACAGAGAACCCCAGGTCCCCCGGACGAAGCCTAAAGTCTTCATTGGTGTATACCAGTGGGGAGACTCTGGACTCCTAACACAGGGACCTAGACCAACTGCAATGCCTTCTGGGAATAGCACTTCCCCCTTGGCCATAAGCTTCCAGGGCAACACAGTTCTTCTCTGAGACCATGAATGACAGGCCAGAAGGCAAAGTAGAGAAAATGGGTGAGGAGGGCTGAAGGCATGCTGGGTTGGGGCAGAGTGATAAAAGGAGATAGCAGTAAAGAAATCCATGGCTCTGACACTGGGAAAGCCACTGTCTATCCCTGCTTCCTTGCCTGTCATGAATGCATCTAGAGTCCCATCAGGGGCTCTGGCTCTAATGATTACTGTCTAGAAATGTCTGTCGACCAGACTGTAGAGAGATCACTAAATAAGGATTCCTAGTTTTCCAGGTTTTTTTGGTGTGTGTGTGTATGTGTGTGTGTGTGTGTGTGTGTGTGTGTGTGTGTGTGTGCTTTGTTTTATTTTTTTGAGACCAGATTTTCCAGGTTTTTTTGGTGTGTGTGTGTATGTGTGTGTGTGTGTGTGTGTGTGCTTTGTTTTATTTTTTTGAGACCAGATCTCACTATGTTGGCCTGATATTTGCTATGTAGACCAGACTGGCCTCAAACTCACGGAGATTCCCCTACCTCTGCCTCTTGAGAGCTGGGATTAAAGACGTGTGCCACCATACCCAGCTAAGGTTTTATTTTTCCTTCCTTCTTCCCTCCCTCTGTCCCCCCCTCCCTCCTACACATTCCTCCTTACATTGGTTCTCCAATGTTCTTGGGAACCTTCAACCCAGAAAACAAAATAATACTCAGAGACTCAGGTGATTTTTTTTAAGAAGCCTAAAACTCAATTTTCTAAAAATTTAGTTGAGTTGGGCAATGTGCCTCATACCTGTATTCCCAGCATTTGGGAGACTGAGACCAGAAGCTCACCATAAATTCAATGCTAACCTGGGCTACATAGTGAGAATCTGTTTTTAAAAAATAGCTTAAAAGTTTATGCCAATGTTGGATGCTACTTACAGACATCTATGTGTTTTGATGGAATGTCTCTATGAACATCCTCTTTTGAAGCTCACTCAGATGAGCCTTGATTACACAGATGTTCCTTAGCCTCCTGGCACATTGTTGTGACCTCCAGGGATCCACACTGAGGTACAATAAGCACCAATAAGCTGCTAAGGAGCAGGACGCAGCTCAGTACCCAGGGGCCACTGGCTTTGTGGGGACCAGGCTGCTTGCTCTTTAACAGCAATGCAGGTCCTAAGTAAAATCTCTACGGAGAAGTGCAGTCCTAAATTCAAAGCCACAGTTTCTGTTTATTCAGATGGCTGATACTTGATGCTTCTAGGATTGTGGCAAAAGCATTTAGAAAAAGCATCTCTGCTTGTAAAGGATCCTGGGAAATGGGGCTCAAAGCCAGGTGAATGAGGGACCAAGAGCTCCAAGTTCACCCCAGGAAACCTGGGTTCTCCCCCCCAGCTGCATCCAGCTAGGCCTGAGACCCAGACAAGGAGTAGTCTCTGAGCTTACACTCCCTTGTGTTAAAATCAAGGGGGTGGGGTGAGATGCTGCCCGAAGGTCCTCCTGGCTCTGCTCAGCCTTCTCCTCCACGACACTTTGATTTTCAGTTGTCTTCTTTACTGGTCCACCTCTCCTTATCACTTCTGAAAGTGCAGTGTGTACCCACTCTACTTTCGTGAAAACAACTCCTGCCATCCCTCAGAGAGTCTCTTCTGCATTTTTATGAAGCAGGCTAGTAGCCTCCCTTCAGAGGATGAATGCCCTAAATGCCCTGGAGGCTCACATAGCTGGACTCGTTACAGCCCTGGAAGGCAGCCTTGTGATGGATGAGACAGAATGTGGTCCAGAATGTTACTGCTTCAGCCCAGAGTCCAAGACAAGACTCATTTTCATGGTTTCCCTTTCCCCTGAGTGTGTTTAACCGAGTGCTTCCCTTCCACGGTCTACATCGAGTACCCTTGGTTTCTTAGTTAACAAAATGAGAGTTTATTAAATTTTCAGTTCTAATAAATAGCAGTCAACTCTACAAGGGGCTTAAAGTCCTCGTAAAAATGACAGAGTCATGACCATTCAGAGAGAACATGTTAAGCTATGGTCTTTAGTTACAAAAGGGAGTCTCTCCCCTCCCCATCCACACCCACCCCACAACATCCTGTTGCAGTTTAAAGGCTAGAAGTTGAATTTAGTTTTCTTATTACACGAGAGTCCAAAGATGTCTTAGCCAAACATTCTGGTCTTACAAATAAATGGAAAACAGAAAAAAAATTCTAAGAATCATGTATAAAGAGCAGGTTATGTTTGCCCAATCTGTGGAACCAACATGCCTGGAAGGAAGCCCAGCCAAAAGAAGGCCTAGGCACATTCTGCAATGTTCTTTCCCTTTTCTTGAAGGGCTGGGTAAAGAGCTGAATTCATCCATTCACAGTTCCAGGGTAGAAATAGCATCTTCAGGCCTTTCCTTCCCAAGTGATAGATATGTCAGGGGGTGATCAAAGCTGGAGTGAAGCCTATCTCCTCCAGTAAGTTAAAACTTTGGAGGAAGATGAGGGCTGACAATTTAGTGCCTTATGCTGCTTTTGTGATTCATTCTGAAAAGATGGAATTTGGACTTCAAGAATAAAATAAAAGACAGGCAAAGAGCCTCCAGTCCCCCAACCTTGGGAGGTAACTATTGCCTTGGGCCAAGGTCAGATTTCAAAAGCCAGATATGAGGCGCTAACGGGCACTGATGGGAGCACAGAGTGGCAGTGCTGAGCTCCAGAGTGACAGTGCTCATCCTCTATGGGCCCCAGGTCTCCAAGCACAGCAGCAGCTCCTGGCTCCTCCTACCTGTCCCCACTGGTTTCTGCCAACCTGTTGTTCATTATTGCAAAGGCTCCCACACCCCCTGAGAATTCATCATCCCTTGAGAGTGCAGTGGGCTGGTGGGGCCCACCATTGGCCATCTCAGACAGCTGCTTCTGCAGGATGGCCAGTGAGACCTTGTTGGTATCCTTCATGGAGATCATCTCCCCTGAGAGACGTCGCCCATCCGTGTCACTCTCCATCACCCCATCGGTCTCTATGGAGATGTTGCACCTGTTCCGGATGTTGCCAGGCATCACTACATTCCTCCTGGACCGCAAGAGTCTTCTTTGGCATTGTGGGAAGCATCCACCATCCAGTTTCCTCAGGATCCAGTTCACAGTCTGTTTGATCAAGATGGAGATGACGTTGAACAAGGAGTAGATACAGCAGACACCCATGAGGATGAAGACAAAGTTGGCAAAGCGGTAGATCCCTTGGTTATCATACTGAGCATTCTGGCTGCTGACCAGGTCCCCAAAGCCAATGGTGCTGAAAGCCACGAAGCAGAAGTAGAGTGAGTCAAAGTAGCTCCAGCCTTCCATGGCAGTGTACAGAGCAGAGGCCCCGCAGGAGATGAGTGCTGAGGCCAAGCACAGGATCAGCATGACGTAGTACACCGAGGGCTTCCAGCCAGCTAGGTTGTCAGTCTCGCCTTTCCCTGGAGCCTTCAGGCCGTCCTGGGCCACTGCCCCACGTCTCCGCAGCTGCTGCTGGTGACAGGATCTCATGACATAGGCGATGACGGTGATCAGCCGCTCCAGGAAGAGGTTGAAGAATAGGATGGTGCTCGCACAGCCGATGAGGCCGTAAAAGATCAGAAAGATTTTCCCTCCTATTGTGGCTGGTGTCGTCATCCCGAACCCTGAAAGAGACAAAAATCAGAGGAGGGAAGAGTGAGAGAGATCTCAGCTGGGAATAGGGTCAGGGTCTAGGCTTGATGACTGGTAAAGACTAGAAGAGAACAGTGCTCTAAAATCCTTCAGTTCTAGTCTTTCAAGGACAGAGCAGAGATTTCCACCTCTTTGGAACACAGTGATGTTCAGCACATAGAATGGGTCTGCTGCAAGCCCGTAGGGTGTTACTGTGCAAGGCCTTTCTTCCTCTGGGTAGATCCTGCCAGCAATAAAAATGGCGTGGTGATGAGGCTGTGGTTAGGTTTTAGCCTCCTTTCCTCCCATGACTGGATATCATTTTACAACATACAACATGAAGAGCCATATCCAACATACCTTGATCAAAGACACAATGGCTCATACAAATAAAAGCCTTATGCAGACTTAAAAGAATCCATCTATTCCACAGACACAGAACTGGAGACAAAGCCTGAGAAAGGTCAGCTTCAATCCCTGCCCTCCTGGAGCTGTAGTTCAGGAAGATGGTTAATATATTGCATGTTAAGTACTGAGTCAGGCCTGGAGGTGGTGGAGCTCTGTGAAAACTGGTAAGAGGATTGCCCATCTCAGATTTGGGGGTCTGGGAAGATTACACAGGGGGGTCCTGGAATCCAAGGAGGAGCTGTGCAGGCAGAGGGTGCATTTGAATGGTGATGGTGGTGGGAGGCATTCCAGGCAGAGACCAGAAATGAGAAATCCTCCCAAGATCCTCTCATCATTTAAAGACTCTTCAAACACACCTATCATGCTTTTGGAGGGTCAACGTACTGGATGGTAGGGTATGATGAAATTGAAAATGTCTCTCTTGCCTGTGCCCATTCACAGTTCCCACTTCTTGACTTCTCTACCCGAGTACACAGACAAACTGCTAACAACACGAGTCACAGGATGATGAACATCATGAGGAAAACTAGAAACAGAGCCAAGCCGTGGTCCACATGGTGTTTCTCACTGAGGGACAGTGAGGGTCGGTCCACTCTCACTGGCAAGATGAAGATGCCTTCCAATGGATGCAGCTAAACAGGAGCAGGTTGGCTTCATAAGGGGGTGGGTGTTGGAGTCCCGTGAGTACTGGTGCCCATAAAGAGTGAACGTTGAGCAGGTCTCCTTGGGTCCAGCTTCCTGTTCAGGTCAAACAGCCTCCTTTCCATCTTTTTCTTAATATTCTTTCCTTCTTTCCCTCTTCTCTTCTTCCTCCTCCTCCTCCTTTTGCATGTGTATGTGTGTTCCCATATATACATGCACTTGCACATGTACATGTGTAGGAGCCCAAAGTTGCCATTGGATACCTTTCTCAATTGCTCACCTCTTTACCCACTGAGCCATCTCCCCAGCACAGCTTCCTAATTTACAAGTTTGGCTTCATCACTGGGTCCCATCCCTGGGATCCAAAGCCTCAGCCATCACCTTTTCCTGGTGATCTGCCTCTCCCTCTCCCCCACCATCCACAGTACTTCTTGTTTCTACAGCTCAGTCAGTGGTTGCCTGTCCCAGGTTCCCTGGGGAATTGGTCAGAGCAAATCTTGAGATGTGAAGGCTCTACTGGGGTCATGACTTCATGGTATTCCGAGGTAAAGCTGAGGGGCTACTTTTCCTAAGCACCAGATATGTGCTTTCATGACCATTTAATTCTCCAACTAAATTTCTGACTCTTAGCACCCAAGAGCTGAATTTGGTTGGGCAGCCAATGGCTTGGAACCAAGACAATGGAGGAAGAAGCTGAGTTCAGCTTTTTTTAAAATTAATATTTTTACTGAATTTTTATGCATTTCATATAATAGATCTGAATAAAATTTATACCCCATCCACATCCCCCATAGGCCCCCCCACTGAAATTCATGCATTCTGTCATATATGTTAAGCCCTATCTGGTCAAGCATTTGTGCTCTGCTGTCCTTTGGTGCAAGTTCATTCACTGGAGTCTAGTCAGTCTATCTAGAGTCTCTCCCTTAAGAAGATATACTCTCCCTCACCAAGTAGTAATCAGTTGCTGGGTTTTTGCCCGAGTCAGTCAGCATGGGTCTTGTGCGTGCTGTCACCATTGTTGCAAGTTCATATGAACAAGTTCCCAGTGCCCAGAAAGTTTCTGTTTCCTTATGTTCATGTACCAACCCTGGCTCTTACAATCTTTCTTTCTCCTCTTTCACAGTGGTTCCTGAGCCATGGGTGGGTCAGGTTTAAAATAGGAGTGTTATCCAGGGACATGCACTCTGCAGTCTCTTATTCTCTAAACTTAGCCAGTTGTGGCCGTCTGTGTGCACCACACTATTGCATGAGGAAGCTTTGCTGGTGAGAGTCGAGGGATGTATTAGTGTTCTCTCTACCCCTGTTCTGCTATGTTTCATGAGCCTTACATGTAGAGGCTCCACTGTAGATGTGTCACTTAGGACTGGGCCTCTCAGACATATATTCTCTGTGTGTGACCAGTTGTGGAACTCTGTAATAGCCTCCATCTGTTGCAAAAAGAAGTTTCTTTGGTGAGTGGTGTATGGTACACTTGTCTGAAAATATAAGGATCAATATTTAGCATACATTAAGAAATTTCATTTTCTAGAGATATGACAGAGATAAGGGTCTATGACTTATTTCTAGGACCTATGACTTCTACAGCCATGTATATTTGGCAATATTTACAATGCCACCCATGAGTTCCCTCCCACTGAGAAGGTTTTAAGTCCAATTAGATAGCTGTTGATTACCCCCTAGATAGAAATGCCACTACTGCCCCAATAGAGATAGTTTGCTGTGCCCATCATTACGGTTATTAGGCTTTAGAGCTGGGTTGGACCACTGATTGATTTTCTCTCTTAGCAGCTTGCATAGTATCCTCCAGAACTATGAGAGCTAGTCTTCAGGGAGGAGGCTTCTAGGTTGGTTCCAGCTCTCCTGCTCCAAGGCCTGTGTCTGAAGTATGTCCTGTCTTCAGTAGTAGGGTCTTACCTACAAGTTCTAGGAGGTAATCAAGGGTTGTGGAAATAGCTTGTATTATTTTGGGAATCTCCTGGACTATCCTGACCAACAACCTGAGGGGAGGTTTCTCCTGTCTGTCACTGTGCTCCTTGTTATATAGCCTTCCGTTATACACATGCACACATGTTCAGATATTGTATGTGTATTTTTCAGCGAGTTTTTGAGTTAATACATTTCCCCAAGAGAACAAAAGACTCCAAATGCTGGCGAGGATGTGGAGAAAGAGGAACGCTCATTCACTGCTGGTGGGAATGCAGACTTGTACAACTATTGTGGAAAGCAGTGTGGAGAACTCTTAAAAAACTAAAAATGAGGGACAGGAGAGATGGCTCTGTGGTTAAGAGCACTGGCTGCTCTTGCAGAAGACCTGGGTTTGAATCCTAGTACCTACCTGGCAACTAACAATGATTCATAACTCCAATTCCAGGGGATCTGACACCCACTTCTGTCCATGGGCATTGCACAATATGGGTACACTTACATACATGCAGGCTATACATTCATACACATAAGATAAAAATAAAGAAAGAATATGTTATAAAAAACTAAAAATGAATTTATTATATGATCCTGTAATATCAGTCCTTGGCATATACTCAAATAACTCATCCTATTATAGAGATACCTGCATATCCATGTGTGTTGCTGATCTTTTTACAGTAGCTAAGAAATGGAAACAACCTAAATGTCCCTCTATTGATGAATGGATAATGAAAATGTGGTACGTTTACACAATGGAGTTCTACTCAGCAGTAAGAAAAGATGAAATTTGCAGGTAAATGGACGGAACTAGAAACTGTTATACTAAGTGAAGTAACACAGACTCAGAAAAGCAAGTGACGTATGTTCTCCCTCATTTGTGGATCATAGCACCAATCCCTTATATGTGAGTATATATCCTGATGTAACAGCAAAAGCCAGGAAAATGGAAAGGAAGCATGGAGGTAAGCAGAAGGAAAGAGCCAGAGAGGGGGATAGGAATAGTAGGGAACAGATGTTACCAGGAGGGAAATGGGGAAAATGGGAGTATTCATCTGGGAGGGGAGATAGGAAGGACATACAAGGAACCATGGGGGTAAAGGGGAAGAAGGGACTCAAGAAAGGGCCAGGAATTATCAAGGGGAAAATGGGGGCACTTAAACTAGGGATGGAGGAGGGTGGTTAGACATGAAGGGAGGGAGGGAGTTCAGTTTTTTTAACAGAACGGGATAGAGAGGAATGGATGGGATCTTTGGTGAGGAGGGAAGAGAGCAATGGCATGGAGAGACTGAGGACTAGTCAGGGTCCTTAATGTTGGAGAGAAAAGTTATACTACCATCTCTCCTTTGGAAACTCTTGTTTTCAAAATCAAAGTCCCCTTAGCAACCCCAATAGTGGGAGTTCTTACTTGTCTTCATTCTGTAAAGAATTGTGTTGTTGCCTCTCTTGTTAGGATCTTTATGTCATATCCCCACAGTAAGTTGCAGCCAGGTGGTTGAAGTCATGAAGAACTGAACCTAATGATGCAAGTGCATTGAGTTTAATGACTAACTGCAAGCAATGTCTTTTCTACTCAATCCAAAGGAACACCGTGGAGTCACCACAGTGCTGAGAAATTAGGTTCTGATTATTGAAGGAACTTGGAGCCACCCCCATGGGATCAGTGGATTTCCTGGAACAGAAGCACTTGCAAATGTTCCTTGTGGGAAGATAGAAAACAGAAGGCTGAGCACTGGGGGCCTGCTCCTGAAAGTGGCACTGGACCTCAGCTTCTCCTCGCCCCATTCTCCTTCCCCCGGGACCTCCTCTCTCTCTCCTTCCCTCTGGGACCTCAGCTCCCCCCTTCTCTTTCCTTACTCTTTCTTCTCCCTCCCTCTCCTCTCTTTGCTGCTTAACTACCATGAGGTGGGCAGTTTCCTCCTCCATGTACTGTGGTCATGGTCCAAAACTCCCAGCCAAATTTAACTTTTGCTTTTCCTTTCTTTCAATTTTTATTTATTAGTGTATGTATATCTAGGCA